GAGTCTGGTTAATATGGTGAATCTTCAATAAACCGTGTTTTTGGCTAGAAGAAGGCTTGGGTCAAATTCTTTCAGGCAGGACCCTCCTTTTAGGACCCCTAACCTTTAGACCTCATCAGGGCAACAGCTGATTTAGAATCAGAATGACTTGGGTTCAAATCTTACCTCTGAAATTTAGTAGCTGTATGATGTTAAATAAGTTATTTCAGTGGTCCAGTCAACTTTCTAAATGATAAATTCCAGGTGAGATGGTAGTCAGTGAAGGGAGTTTTCAGATTAAGAATTCCCTATAGAGATAAAATCATAGGTCTGCTGGTCAAGACTCCAAACCTTTCCCCATTAAAAAAAACATTCTGGGAACATTTCCACTTTCCATTTGATCCCATTTCCTTTAATCTCTAATCACCTAATTCTACTCACCATTTTTAAAAAAACCTAATAACCAAAGAACATTGGTTTAGAGACCATTGAAAGACATTATTTCTTTCTTCACTATGGAGTTACTTCCTAACTAGAGATGGGCCACTTCAGTAGAAAAAGTGATGGCAGCCTGATACAGTGGAAAGCACAATGGCTTTGAAGTCAGGGGCTCTGCTTTCAAATCCCAGCTCTGCTTCTTATCACTTATGTAACCCTAGGCAAGTTACTTACCCTCTTTAGGACTCAGTTCTTCATCTGCCAAATAAAGAGGTTGTGGTCTTTAAAAAAGCTTGGGAGACATAATTTCTGGGTAATTTAATCATTTCATTGATAATGTCAGCATTTTAACAGAACAATGGTCATTTGGCCATCTCTCTCTTAGACCAAAAACCCTCATGGTGGCAGGCTCACAGGTGTCATGCACTTCAAAGAGTAGGTCTTCCCTAGGTTGACAATCAACTCTGACTGGCAAACAATTAACAATATGGTAAATTTACAAACAGAAGTGCGCTTACTCCAATGAGGGGCTGACTGTGATATCATATCACCCTTGGACAAAAAAACTTATCTCTATACCCAGACCACCCACAACCTTGGGCAATTTAGCTTGAAGAATGGAGTTCAAGTTAGAATAGAGATTGCTTGTAAGGTTGGGTGGGGTTCATATAGAGATGAAGGTTAGCTAAATCTTCAGAGACTGAGGTCTTGAAATGAAGATAGAGAAAAGGGGGAACTCCCCAAATCATTAGTTATTAATAGTCATTTCTCTCAAAGTCATAATTCTACATGGCCTCTGAGGTCCTTTCCAGCTCAAAATCTGTGATCTCAGAAGCACCTAACTTCAAGGAATAGAGTGCAAGGCTTGGAGTCAGGAAAACTGAATGTAAATGTGGCCTCAAATATTTATTAGCCATGTTACCCTAAATCAGTACATAATAAGAGAAAACACCTTTAGGAACCAGAGCTGGATTGGAGTACCTCCTTATAGGAAGCTTTACAAATGTTTATGTAGCTTATTCCACCATATAAAAGCCCCAAATGCTTAGTTGTTTACTGAATTAGTCAAGATACAAGGTAGAATAGAAAGTGTGTGTGTGTGTGTGTGTGTGTGCACATATGTGTGTATGCACGTGTGTGAAATCTAAATTTATTCTTTTTCAAAGGTTGAAGCAATTATTTCCTGCAAAATGTGAATACACATACAATTTGTTTTAAAATATGTATTATCACTAAACACATACAGTTTATCTTATTTAATGTCACAACAAAGGTGTAGAAAAGTACAATAGATGTCATAATAGAATCTACTGTTTTACCATGGGCAAGCCATAACTTCTATGAATTAGCTTCCTCATGTATAAAATGGAATCATAATATTTATATCAAGGTTCAAGTCTTGCCTCTAGCAAAAACCAGCTTGGTAATCACTGGCAGGTCGCTTTACTTCTTGATGCCCACCAACTCCTTCTATCCCACAGCTCTCTAAAACTATGACTCATAGAGGAGTTAACAATTTTTTTTTGGTAAAGTGATTTTTTTCATACAAGGAATTCACCACACAGAGAAAATCACTTGCATTTCCTCCTTCTTTCTTCCCAGTGCACTATATACCTCACAGGACTATTGTGAGGAAAGAAAATTACTTTTAAAAACTTAAAGTCACAGAGAAATTGAGAGAAAGAGAGAGAGACAGAGAGATTATATAAATATGTATGTACACATACATATATAAGTACACAACTGTTATTAAATAATTATTTTTAAATGCTCATTTTAAAAAAAATAGCTCAACAATAAGATACTAGTCTTCTAAGTAAATGTTCTTTGCATCATTCACTTGGTATACATCAAACCAATTGATAACTGTCTATTGATAAGCAAGATTTCTTAGCAAACATTAACAGAACAATTTTAATTTTCTGTCCAAAAATTGTTCAAAATATTCTGTGACAAGGGATATTATTTTTCTTTTTTTTTTTGCGTTCTGAAGTAGTTTGTAAAGTCAGTCTAAGGGCAATTGCTGAGGGGAATGGATGGATGGATGGATGGATGGATGGATGGATGGATGGATGAGCATTTATTAAGCAATTATTCTGTGTCAAGCAGTGTTAAAAGTTGCTAATGCAGATAGCCACTGCTTTCAAAGAGTTCACACTCTATGAGAGAGAAATAATACGTGTAGAATTGTTCATTTTTAAGGTAGAAGGAAAGTCCCAGTGATCCTTGGTATGCAGAAATCAAGAAATCAGAGATAAGAATGAATGTCAATCTTCTATTCTTACTCAAGTTAAATAAAAAAGCAAGGGATCAAGGGATTCTTTGAATTTTTTTTCAGCAAAAAAGTAATATAAGACAGAAAAGCCTCCAATGGATAATCAGAGAAACTTATATGAAATTAGGAGTCCCAGACAACACTGCATCACTCTCTATTTCTTTTCCTTGTATAAGAAGCCTGAGAAGTGGAACTATTTAAATGAAGATAAAATCCCCTGGTGAAAGCCTTTCAGAAATATACTATGCAAGTGAGCATCTAAGAGGAAATAAGATTATTTGTTAAGTCATGGTATCCATAGCTGATGCCAAATGGCAGTTTGTCAATAGGGGCTTTCCATATAAAGTGAAATAGATTAGGGCAAGCATCTTAGCATGTCATGTTAAATCAAAAAAAAAAAAAGGATAAAAGATAATAGAGAGAAAAATGCCTAATTGTATCTTTACATGGTTTCCTTGTGAGTTGACTTCAGAGCCATTAGATGTTTAGGAGTTTGTAACAGTTTAAATTTTTTTTTCTATTTGAAAATGATTATTTCTTTTATAAGACTTCAACATTTATATTTTTAAGCCTGTGGAAATCTGAGCAAATAGTTGCCATCTGAAATACCGGGGAAAAAATTAGGTTCATAATTTCATAGACTTAAGTTTGAAGAGACCCTTGACATCCTCTAGTTGAACCTTTTTCTTTTATAGATGGGGAAACTGAGGCCCACAGAGATTAAAATGACTTGTAAGAAGAAGGTCATGGTGGCAATAAATTATAGAGATGAGATTTGAACTCAGGCTCACTAATGTCAATGTGTTAAAAAAAAAGTGCTTTTAACACTATGCCTCATTGTCCCAATATCATTTATTGATCCTCATACCTGAGGCACCCTAATGTCACCTGAGAGCATTGCATTTAAATTTAAGGGACAGATATTGAATAGGAGCTAAGGCCTTTGAAAACTGAATCTGCAAAACAAAACTCTTGATGTGATAACACTTTCCCTGGGTTCTTTCAGCTACTGAATTTCTCCCTTAGTCATTAGGTCAGAAAGACTTCTTGAAGCTAATTCATTCATATTCAAATGTATGACTGAAATTTGTCAGGTATAATAATACTTTAATTTATATCATGGAGACCTTCCGCTGAGAGTTGTAAGGGTTGCAATCTGCATTAGTGGAGAGATTGTCCATCCCTGACAAAAGCGTAGACCATTTGAAGTACCCAAAAAAAAGGTTTTTTTAATTGAATTTTATTGTTTTTCACATTGCTTTTATACACACCATTTCCTTTCTTTCTTTCAGCAGTCCTAGGAGGTAGGCAGAGCAGGTGGTAGATACGGTTATGGTGAACAGAGAACTTTTCTTACCTTCTTACCATCTCTCTTAGATTAATCTTCTAATTTCTTTGAGTCTCAAATCCCTTGACTGTGAAATGAGGAGAGTGTGCTACATAACCTTCAAGCTTTTTTCTAGTTCAAAATTCTGTAATCAGTATATTACAAATAACAAAACAGAAGCCTACGGAGTTCACTTGCCCAAGGACACAGACAGTTATGGAGCTAAAACTAAAACCTCCCAGGACTCTTGTTTCCTATTCTGGAACTTGGTTCACTTTACTATGCTGCTTATAAAACAGGGAATACCCAAGCCCTCCCCCCATCCCACTGCCAAAAGGCCAGGTGTGTTACTTTTTCCCTTCTGCCAGAGTACTCCAGTACCCTTTAGGGTACTAGGGGATGTCTAGTCTTTCTGTCTTTCACTCAGACCCCAACCAATTGTGTTCCCTCAGAATTTAGGGATCTCATGTATTATTTCCTTTTAACCATTTAACAGGCAGATTAGCTTTTATGAAAGAATAGAATTGGACCTAAAGACCTATAGGGCCCTCTCCAATTAGAAATACTACTACTCTTTGCTTATTGTCAGCCTAAAACTGTAATTCACTGGAATAGGGAACTCCTATTAAGGAAACCTGTATCAGTGTAAATCAGCAGCTGCTCTTCAATTTAAAGTCTTAGCATTAGGTGCTAACTTGGAACATTGAGGTAAGTTGTCTAAGGACATAAAGCCAGAATGTTTCAGGAGCTGGACTTGAACACAAGTCATCCTGACCCCAAAGACTGTTCTCACAAAAAAAGGACCACCCAGCCTCTTCTTGTTTTTTAACTGAACGTTATTTTTCTGTTTGTTTGTTTCTAATGTGCCTCCTGTATCTATAACTCGGTTGTCATGTCTTTAATGGCTATTTTCTCATACTTGACCTCTTTAATTGACTAAAAAATTGAATCCTAAAAATGAAATAAAATATCTCCATGCAGGGATCACTACAGTACTGACTATGACGACTCTGAGCACCATAGCACGGAAGTCCTTACCTCGAGTGTCCTACGTCACTGCCATGGACCTGTTTGTGACTGTGTGCTTTCTATTTGTCTTCGCTGCTCTGATGGAGTATGCTACTCTTAACTATTATTCAAGCTGCAGAAAACCAAACTGTGCCAAGAAGAAAAAGTCGGTATGTTGCCTTTACCCTATTTACTAAAACAGAGAGCCAAATAATTTTTTTTCAAAGGAAAGAATTACCTTGAATTAGTATGCTACATGTACGTATGACTTATAATTAGTAGTTTTATGTATAACTATCTTTTTAGGGTGGAAGACCTCCAATTTCATTACTGTAGGCAGTTCCCAGTGAACAAACATCCTCTCTGGATACAGAGCAGAAATTCATTTGTAACTTACAGTCTTAGAGAGTTGCCCAAAGCAGATAGAGGTTGAATAACTTGCTATCAGTTACATAGCCACTGTGTTTTAAAGGCAAGAATTGAACCCAGATCTTAATGATCTCAAGCCCTTCCATCTGCTATTTCACAATTTCTCTTAAAATTGTCGTTCCTGAGCTTAAGTAAATACTTACAATCTTTAGTTTTTTGGTTTTGTTGTTTTTTGGGTTGTTTTTTTTTTTTTGGTGAGGCAGTGGGGGTTAAGTGACTTGCCCAGAGTCACACAGCTAGTAAATGTTATATCTGAGGCTGGATTTGAACTCAGGTCCTCCTGACTCTAAGACCAGTGCTCTATCCACTGCTTATCCACTGTGCCACCTAGCTGCCCCAACCTTTAGGTTTTTTTAAGCAACTAAGAAGTTCCCATTTGGGACTTCTCAGCTGTGGAAATGTAGACTATCTTTCCCACTAGCAGCATTCAATTATTCAGTAGCCTTCCAAAGCATTTTTTTTTCATTTCCAGCCTCTAATTTTATGGCTTTTTCCTAATGGGACATGAGTTAATTTAGTCATGGGAGAGTTGAGTTTTAGTAAATGAGAACAGGCATGCTAATTGTTTTTTCTGTTTACCTTTTGTTCTAGTTAATGCACTCAGAGACAACTGAATGGGTCCATGAAAGAATACGTACACACACCCACAGCGTATGTATTGCTCCTGGCCAGGTGTCAATAATTCCTGAGTATCTCTATTTAAATGAGTTTTCATTTGAAAATAAGCTATGTACATGCTATCTGTGCCTAATTGACACACCTGATATATTTATCACTCTTGAAGTGCAATAAATGTATCTTGCCAACGTGTACACTAGACGTGTTTGCCAAAATTGCTGTTGGGTTTTCCACTTGGTACTTTTTAAATCTTCTCATGGGAAGTCTCAGTGAGGTGCCTTTTTTTAAAAAATTTGTTTCTTTTCATTGGGGAGGGCATCAGGCTTAAAGAACAACCCATTTCAGCCTCAATGGAAAATCACAATAAGAAAGTATAGATTTTGTCAGCATCTGCTCTCCTGAATAGTCACATGGCAGAATGCACCATGATAGAACTCAGGGTACTTAAAAACAGCTACAATACCAGAATGAATCACTTGGGTCTCAAGGAGGCAGAAAAATGTTAACTAAGTTAGCCAAAGAGCTGAAGGTCAAGTTCAGAGGCTAGGACAGTTACTGACACATAGACATAAATGCTTGTTGATTGATTTGGCTGCAGAGAATGGAGAAAAAAATAAAATAAAACCAGACAAGAGGCAGATTATCTTTTCCCCCTTTTTTGTGGGAAGTAATTCAGCTAAGAGCAAGTAAGGAATCCCTTGAGCAAGGGGAATAGAAAATATCCTGTGACTAGAAAGCACAACACAGGGGAAAGTCTAGTGCCTAGGAAAAAGAATGCAATGAATTAATTCAAAATCAAAAGGGTGTCAATCAAGTGGGAGAGAGACAAAGACACAGACAACTCTTCAGCAAATAATTCATGCTTTGAACAAAAACAATCCAAGAATTTCAAAACTGAAAAATTTCATAGTGATAGCTATACTCCTGTTCCATAAGATACTCCAGATTTTGCCATTTTCAATCATTGCCGCCACAATTAAAATGAAGCAGTGAGGTGAATCAACGCAAAAGTACAAGGAAGATATTGTAGGATCTTTTAGGGTAAGTGTAAAGACACCTTTACATCCAGATAATTAAAAGAATGAATAACTCAGGATGTGACTATGGAATGAAGTTAATGAACTACTCAGACAACATTTCTTGGAACCAGCTAATAGCCTTCTTAGAAAATATTTTGAGACTTTACAGCACAGTTGGGATAAGGCGTGTGTGATCCCTAGGCAAGGTTGGAAAACAGAGCAATCTGACATTTGCAGATTGAGCCCATATACATTTGAAGTTTCAGTTTCCTGGAGATGTGCCTAGCTCAGGTTTGAAACTATTATAATCCATATGATTTGGCTGATCCACAAAATAGCTTCCTATATAACATACAGAGTAAGCTTTTCAGATGTATATATGTGTATATATGTGTGTGTATGTATTATATTTGTAAAACATATATGTTTTTACTTAGTCTTGGATCTCCTGAAAGTAAGTAAAACTATATTTAAGAATTAGTATAATTTATGGAACACATGTAGAACTTTCAAATCGCAAAACTCTAATTTGATATAAAATTATAAGTGAAAGAACTAGTTAATATTTAAGTTGTATATCCTAATTCATACAGTCACAGCTTCAATACTTGAAGGGAACTTAGACCCTTAGAAGGGACCTAGTCTAATATCTACCTTATGTGCTAAACTCAGTCCAGCTGATTCAAGTTTTTACTTATTTTTGTGGTTGCTGTTTTAATGCCATAGGTACTTGTGGACCATAAAATCCAATTAAAATATACATAGGTATACGTGTGTGTGTGTGTGTGTGTGTGTGTGTGTGTGTGTGTGATTTTTAAAAATCCTGATAACCAGGAACATCAAATTCACTGATCGAATGATATCCACAACCTGTATTAGTGGAACTGATTGAATGATATCCTACCATTGTTACTGGTTTCCATCACTGGTCCAGGTCTGGATCAACTGAATGAGAGAGACAGAGACAGAGAGATGGAGATGGAGAGAAGGAGAGACAGAGAGAGACACACATACAGAGACAGAGACAAAGAAAGAGAGGGAGAAAGAGATAGAGAGACAGAGAGAGAGAGACAGAGAAAGAAACAGAGAGAGAGAGAGAGAGAGAGAGAGAGAGAGAGAGAGAGTTGCATGCCTCTAGTATGCAAGCTATTTCAGGTCTTGGGTTGGTGCTGGAATTCACCTTGCTCCTAGGCCTGCCAACCAAAAGTTCTTCCTGACCAAATTGTGGACACCTTAGAGACCAAGGGGCTACCATCTTCTTTGATAAGAGTTGAAGAAAGACTCCCATTCATCTTCATCTAAGGACTTAAAATCACTATTAAATAAGCCAAAAATATACTTAGCCTTCAGTAAACTTTAATCAAGTGCCTTCTCTCTGTTGATCATTTCAAATTTATCCAGTATATAGCTTATTTGTACTTGGTCCTTTTCATGTTAAAATGAAAAATAATGTTAAAATAAAAATTTTATCTTAGAATTCCCTCTGTCTCTGTCAAAGACCAACCATGAAGCTCATAGCTTAGGTCACTGGGAACACTTGCCAGAACCCCCATTCTTCAGGATATCCCACATTGCTGGGTTAACAGTACTGCTGAATTTCATTTACTCATACCTATCTCATAATAGGCAGAAAAAGCAATAAACTAAGCAAAAGAGTTAGGTCTTCCTAAGCAGAGATTCATTGGGATATCAAAGTGGGGAAAGCATCAGGATTGTGATTGGAAATCTCAGCAATATCACAACTTTTTCTGGAAGGACATTAATTCATGAGGGATGCCGTATCTCTGTCTGATATTGGAAGCCTCTTCTTACCTAACTCTCTTGTTAGAGAACACATCTTGCATTATCCAATTCTTTGTAGGCAATGATAAATGAAAGATGATCGTCTAGCTCTATGCCGTCCATTCAGTAGCAACCAGGACTGAAAAAAAAAAAAAAAGAAAAAAGAAAACAATTATTTTTGGAGCATGGATGAGTGGCTTCTTCACGGAGTTTATGGCTCCAGAAGCCCAATAGTCATTTAATCTTGCTGTCTGTTAATTCCACCCAAAGGCTTCACTCATCCTAGTCCTTATAATCAGAGATTTCCAGAAACACAGGCCCCCTACTTACCCAGGATGATAAAAGTTCAAGGGGAGAGCTAGCTAGACAGTCTTCTTTAAGTCTTCCATGGCTAATGCTTGTTTAGGTACCCACTCAAAAGAGGTAGATTTTACATTAATTTGATAAACAGAGGCCATTGAAATATCTCAGCATGGAATAAGTGTTCTCCAAAACCTAAAGAGCCCAATAAGCCTTCAACATTTCTTCCCAGAAAGGGGGAAGCAAGTATCAATAGGTTGTTACTGAAGGCCTCTGGCATCATCTGAGTTCTCTCTACCTAACGTAGCTCTAAAAGTTTAAACTGAATAGGCCCTACTCACAATAAATGGCATAGAAGTTACTGTAAGTGACTAGACAGAACCATAAAAATCAATTAAAATATTGGTATGTATAAAGTATATATATATATATATATATATATATATGTGTGTGTGTGTGTGTGTGTACACACACACATATGTATGTATATGCATGTGTGGATGTATATGTGTATGTGTGTGTGTGTGTGTGTGTATAGACAGAGGCTGATTCCCAAAAATTCATAATATCCAAGATCACACTATATTCCTCCTGATCATGCACAGAAACTAAGGACTAGGAAGAAGATATTTCTCCCATCTCTATCTTAACAAAGGAATTCCTTCCATAGGTGGTTTTGTTCCTCAAATCCCCATTAGAAACTGGGATATCCATACAAAGCCTATGAAGATCCTCTAGTATCACTGTATCCTAAATGCCAACACACAGCTGTCCACTGTAAGTGTGACACTCCCTCCACTGCAGTACTTGAGGATATGGCCTCTGTTTCCTTCCCCCTACAGGCTACTATAGTTAAAATATCCTGAGCACTGGCGGAACCTTGGCCTTCATGCTAGAAAAACTCATTTCAATAATCCTTCAAGTCTGGACACAAAGACTAGTGTGTCCTGAAAACAACCAAGTGGGGTGGGAGACCAACTAGGTGTGACTGGGAAACAAGTAGGTGAAGTGCCTGCTTTTAGGAATGTCCTACATTTTCTGGGGAAGAATGACCTTGCTACCCTGGTCCCAAGTAAAATTTTACTAACAATTTTGATATATATACATACAAATACACACATATACACACCTGCATATATGTATACACATTCATTATATATTATACACCACACACACACACACACACACACACACACATATATATATATATATAAAATACCCCCACCTTAATACTATTTTTCTGAGAGTTTCTTTCAATATGGGGAAGACTATTAGTATTTAGTAATCTTCCTGGTTAATTTAAACAAGTTATTGTTAAATGTGCATATAGTTTAATAGGACTGGCTTTAGGGAGAGCTCTGGTGCATTGGGATTTAACTTTCTTCCCTGGGATTTCCCACTCCTAGGATATATATATAATCTTTCAACTCTACTTTTAAAAAGTCATTCCCAAAGTTTATTAAAGAAGAAAGTGTCTTCATATTGTACCTACCCAACATAGAGAGACACATAGTTAAGGCCTGATGACATTGGGGGTTAGAGAGTATTCTACCCAAAAGGCAACATCTAATGAAGGTTGATCCTAGGAGTGGGAAATCCCAGGGAAGAAAGTTAAATCCCAATCCACCAGAGCTCTCCCTAAAGCCAGTCCTATTAAACTATATGCACATTTAACAATAACTTGTTTAAATTAACCAGGCAGATTACTAAATACTAATAGTCTTCCCCATATTGAAAGAAACTCTCAGGGAAATAGTATTAAGGTAGGGGTAGGGGAGAAAGGAGGAGTAATAGGATAAGTTTGAGGGTCTTTTAGCACTTGCTTTAGTACCCAATCAAAATTACCCCCTTTTATCCTGTTTTTATAGTTATCAATTCCAAAGAGTCCAAGACATTCTTCAGAAAAAAAAAACCGCACACACTGAAAGATCT